AAACTAGGAAGTTTATCAAGAATTGATGTATTAGATTTACTGGGACTAGGTCTCTTAGTTGGACTGGGATTAGGACTATTAACTGGTGCCTATAAATATGTAGTAACCCTTTGGATTCTGATAGAGCAAGAATGAGAATGAAAAATCCCTTCTTGTGGATGTAGGTAAGATTTTTACCTATCCATGTAAATTTTATGTTCTTATTTTCTTGATTGTTCATCACATTGTACATTCACAACAAACTAGTATTAGAACCAATGACTAACGATCTTGGATGAACTCTTGAAAAAGTGGTGTAGTGTGCCGGTACTAAGGATGACTATTAAGAAAAAGTAATAGGCTTAGTATTGAAGTTATAGAAACGCAACTCGAAAAAAAAAAGAGTAGGGCGCAAGGGCTCTTTGTGGAATGGTAATGCGGTGACTCATAAAAAGGTGTAAAAGCTTGGTTTTTGGAAGAATGGACTTTTATAAAGAATGATTGGATGTGATGATTGTGGAGAGTGGTGGATTAAACTCAAAGGGAGCAAAGTCAGATGTCTCGCAACAATCTGGAACTCATGTTTATTTTTTACAACCCTTGTTGGTTGCTTGGAGCTCTAGGGGTTGATTTTTGGAGTATATTGGTTGCTTGTCTTCCTCATCGTTTTTTTTTTTTTTTGAATTGAACATTGATACTGCTGATTATTGGTGATTGAAGACAAAGTATGGCAACTTTTGAGGATACCAAAAATCCCGTAGTGGAAGATTGCACAATTGATTATTGGTGATTGCATAATTGCACACTTGTCAATAGACACATCCATCACATTTTTAATGTGATGTCTTTAGCTTGCACACTTGTCATAGTTATCAAATCGAAATTTGTATTGGTAATCGAAATCCTATATTTAAGAATATAGAATTATAAGATTCGACACAAAATTTAAACAATGATAAAAAAGAAAAATAATATATACATATTTAAAATAGACAAGATATTAAATATTGAATATTATTGTATTTTATAAATAATCAATTGACGGTATTGATATGATTACGTCGTCTAAATAAAAAGATGCTAAACTTTATAAATCTTTATAAAACTACACTTGAGTTTGATTATAGTAACTTTATTCTTAATACATAATAAATTGTTCCTCAAAATGACTACGATGAAAGATGCAAAATAGGAAAAGTACATACTGATACGAACATGTAAATTTAAAAAATTACTTCTCACATTCGATTAAAAAATTAATGTGATGAAAAATAAAAAATAGAACATGTATTAAGAAGAAGAAAGAGGAGGGTACATTAGATTTGGTAACTGTTTTTTAAAAGGGAAAGAAGAAGCATACCTGAAGTGAATGAGACGTTTTTGTGTGATGTTCACATATGTTTGAACAATTGCTTGAGAGGCAGAGACGTGAATAGGAGATACTCTCTCCACAAATTTTATATTTGGGATAGGCCTCTTTTAGCAAACTGACGTCGTTTTATTAGAAATAGGGTTAACAAAATAAATAAAACAAATCGTGCGATTCCTTTGATTCAAATCAAATCATATGATTCTCGATTCAAGTGTGACTTTCAGCCAAAAATAATTTTATAGTAAGATACGAATCAAATGGAGACTAAATTGAATCGTACGAATCGAATCGCAAATCATACGATTTTGATAATAATGTTCCTTACATGGACCAACCCATCATCTCTACCACCTAGAAACTACAATCACCCCATGGTGGGGATCATGTAGGAATTAGATAGATATTATAGATTAATTATGATAGTTATTTAGATACTTTTAATATTTATCTTTTAAGTATTTTCTTTTAACTTTTCAGAACTTATTTGTCATTATTTAGTTGTTTTAGGGTTTTAGTTTCCTTATATAAAGGGATGCATGTAAGGGTTTTAGATGAGACTTTGATTATTGGTTATTGATATTGAATCCTGATATTACTCTTCCTCAAATTCTCTCTTTATTCTCATCCCCTTCTTCTGCTTTTCTCATCCCCTTCTTCTTTCTTTCTCATCCTTAATTCTTCCCTACTACGAGCTACATTAATTTGGTATCAGAGTACAACTTCGATTTGTAAAATTCACAAAAAAAAAAAATTACTGTTCATCACGCACTGCTCATCACAACATTGTTCATCGGCGACACTGTTCATCGCCACCAACAACTCATTGTCTAGTTTTTAAAAAAAAAAAAAAAATTGTAGTATTGTCGCGAAGAAGACAATCAGATCAGGTAGGGTTTTGTTTGGGAACAGCAACTTCAACGAGGCATGGGAAAGAAGACCTACTTCTAGAAATTCTAAAATTGCAAAAATATCCCCAATAAAACCAGAATCTTGTAGAATTAACCTTTAGAAATTCAAAAATTTCAGAATTGCCCCCAGAAGTTCAAAAAATCACAGAAATATCATCCAGAAGTTCTATAACTGCAAAATCATCCCAGCAGATCAAAAAAATTACAGATTCATCCCCCCAGCAAATTTCAAAATTTCATCACAACAAAGCTTGATTATGGTATGCATACTCCCATAGAAATTTGATAGTAATATTTTTATTTATTGAAAAATTAAAGAGTTTGCAAAGAGTCAAACACACATTTTATTCTATTTAAACTTTCTTGAAATTGACAATTGCATTCTGGAATTTGTTCTTATATCATTCTCATCTTTCAAGAGTCACTCATGAGTTCCTCTAATGCCTATGTTTCAAGAGTCTCTCGTCGAGGTCATCATCGTCACAAGTCTAGGTATGTCTACAAAGATTCAACACTTATAGCCAAGTCAATTAAAGATCCTTCTACATTTTGTGGAACTCCGGTTCCCAATCAATTCTTAGATTGGTTAGCTAATTTAGAAGAATATTTTGATTGGCATGGCATGTCGGATTTTCATTGTGTCCGTTTTGCTAAATTGATGTTGGAGGGTTCTGCCAAGCAGTATTGGCAAGCAATCCAAAGAAGCCTAGACCCCTTAAGAGAATCACCTATCACTTGGATTGAAATGAGATATAAATTGAAAGAGAAGTATTTGCCTACTTCCTACATAGATCAAGTTTATGACCAATAGCTCAATCATAGACAACATTCTTCTAGTGTCTCTGATTACGTTGCCCAATTTGATTATCTCATATACTTGTGTGACATTGTTGAAGAACCTTGGACAATTGATCAGAGTTTATTCTTGGGTTGATACACAAAATTAGTAGGGAGATCAAGTAATACACTTTTAATACGTTAGTTGTAGTCTACCAATATGCTCTAAAGGTTAAGAGATTTCATAAGAAATCCAACTATAACTTGATGGTTTCTCTATCACAACCTACTGATAAGACATCTTCCAATTTTAATTTCATCACATATGAGTATCATGATTACTTAAATGATATCCATGTTGTTTCTGCATGTTTCCCTAATTCCAGGGTGACCATGGATTTGGATGACACATTCTCACATAAAAAAAGATGTTACTCATGTTGACTACCAATCCCCCTGTCCGGTCTCATCAGATCAGAGCTCGTCTCCTTCATACCAACAAAAGTCAATTCCTGAAGAAAGTGAGATTGAGCCTTTGTCGGGGTCAAATGGTGAGTCACCATTTGTAATGGAACTTGCTGAAAAGTTTGTCGAGTCCACACTTATGAAAGGTGTTGAGCATATTGAGTTACCTATTTCGAAATCTTTTGGTGATTGTTTTGTGTCTTTTATTTCAAGTCAATCTAACTTTGTTCACAAGTCTTTCCCCTCTGAAATAGTTTACTTTGTTCCTACTGTCAAGATTTTAATTGAGTTGATACTTAATTATTTTCACCACCAATGCGTTATTGTTACTCCTTTGTCATCGATGTCTTGTCCCATTGAATACTTTTTTGTTGAAACTAAATAAAAATTATTTTGCTATTCTCATGTTTGGATCTAATGTTTATTTACTTAATTTTTCATTGAATGTTAGTATTAGTCCAAATTTTTATTTGGAGGACATGCTACTTAATCAAGGTATCTCAAAACCTCCTATTTTGTTATCCAGTGTTTCTACCGGTAGAATTACTTCTTCCTCAGCACTAGCTCCAGTTCTTATCTTTCCACTTCCATCGCATATTTCAGGCCAAATAGATGATGTGGTACGTGACCAGATTTACATTGCTACAGATGGAGATTCTTGCATTTATTTTGATCGATAGAAAAATGTTGGTGGTTCTTTCATTCTAGATGAGGCATTCTATCATCTTCATGCTACTCTTTTAGGGTACTTCTGCTTTGAAGACTCTCCGGATGAGAGTTTTTCTCAACCGAAGGAGAATGATGGAGATCGTGTAAAAATTGGATAAATATTATAGATTAATTATGATAATTATTTAGATACTTTTAATATGCATCTATTAAGTATTTTCTTTTAACTTTTGTGGGTTTATTTGTCATTATTTAGTTATTTTAGGGTTTTAGTTTCCCTATATAAAGGGATGCATGTAAGAATTTTAGATGAGACTTTAATTATTAATTATTGATATTGAATCCAAATATTGTATCTTTCTCAGATTCTCTCTCTGTTCTCATCCCCTTCTTCTTCTTCTTTTCTCATCCCCGTCTTCTTCCTTTCTCATCCTTAATTCTTCCCTACTACGATCTACATCAATTTAGTATCACAGCTAATACAATCTACATCAATTTGGTATCAGAGCTAATACGATCTACATCACCCCAAGGACACCTTAAGGATCCGGAGTCCTAGACCGAGCATAAGGAATCAATCTAAAAGAAAGAAGAACATCCTTTTCCACTAAAAGGTTTCACAAGATGTAATTTTGATCCTTGGTATACAGTTTATCATAGCCACAAGTGCTTGGCATAGTTGCCTATTTCCACAAATGTATCTGCAACATAGGTCCCTAATTACATATCCTCAAACTCTACCATGGAATATGACTGCATTTATCCATAAAAAATGTGATGGATGTGCATAATTCAGAAACATATTGAGAAGTAGAAATATATTTACTCACCAAGAATTTGTGTACTTCCAGAAAGTTAAAGACATCACATTGAAAGGAACCCTTACCAATAAAGTCATTTAGTTGCCGCCGTGCAATTCTATGTGCACGAAGAAACGCAGCACAAATAGAACATGCCGATTCCAATCTTTCGACGGTGAAGTATGTAACGAGCTTTCGGGGGATAACACTTGTTTGAAGAACCTTATAATAGCCTGGGATATGAACATTAGCTTTTAAACCTTTCCAATCACACAAAGGCTCATGAGATATCAAGTCAATTGCTTCATCCACAGATTGCATTAAAAGATTTGCTGTAGTTTGTGTGATCCTTCCCTCATCAAGCATCCCCCAATAAGCAGCTTGAACACCTAAAATGAGACATTTGTAATAATTAGCAGTAAAATCTACTTTCAGTTGAGCTTTACACCAGACAACAGTTTCACATTAAACATCAAGTTGATTTAACATGTTCACTAGTTTAGTTTTCTACGCTAAACAAAAATGAAAAGCATGGAATCTTCCATCCCACTGTAATGTAGAACTAACGTAACAAGTATCAGTGCTCATGATTTTTAGCAGGTAATGAAATACTCAATAAATTTGAAACAAAAAGGAAAAGCACAATGGAAACTCCTTTTATTGAGAGGCCAAGGCAAGGGATTAATGCCAACAGCCCTTCGGCTCAATGTAGGCCGGCCAAGCCAGAGGTTTTGGAAGAGAACAACCCCAAAAGAGAACGGCAACAATAGCAAAATAGTAAAGCTCTTGTTCTACTACTAGAAAAGCTTTGTCAGCGTTATTGTGAGGGAATGGGCTTCTCCGAAAAATATTGTGCAAGGGGCCAAGAATACTTTGGTTATATCCAAGCTTCAGATGAGACTGCTCGGTAGGAGGATTGTTACAAGTTGTCGGTGCTGATGTCAACACCTTTAGAGTATCATGTAGCTTCATTCTTAAATAAAAGGGTACGTTTCATTGTGGTGACAGCATGAAAGCGCACCTCATCTTTGGCATCCTCTATTGCGTCCCATAAGAGGGGCTTGGCTTTCATTTGCAAGACCAAGTTTTGTCTGCATTAATGAGGTTCAAGGATGGATAAATTACAGACCTAACATTTGGCATTACTTTTCACATAGTGGCTGCCCTCAATTTCGAACTAACAGCGTCAAAGTTGTCAGACCAAATTTTAACCACTGAACCAGTGGCCCCTGATAATGATGAAAATATGTAGAAACTGAAAAATCATGTGTCAAAAGAGATCATATCAAGTGTACTTTAAAGTAACTAATTCATATAATTGAAAAGGCCATGTTCTATCTGGAGAATAAACAAAGAGATACATTAATGGTTAATTTAACCTTAAACATCCAGCATCTTCTAAGTAAAATGATAGGGGCATACGCCTTATCACACCTGCAGTTATAATTGTGCATAGGAAAGTGATACAGGTGAAAGCTCATTGACTATCTAACATGCTTGTAAAAGGTTTCTGTGAACATGTGTATATGCAAAAGCTAGAAACTGAATTCCTCTAGGGATTACTAATCTAAAAGCATACCTAGGGATAGCATTGCTTGCAAGGGTATGGATGGAACAATGCACAATGACAACTCTATCTCCAAGGAATGAAATGGAGATCTTAACCTTTTAAAATAGGCAAAGAACTGAATATAACACCCTCCACCACCTATATTCTTTCTGTTAGCACATGCACATCCAACCCAAACCAACTGGCAATGAGTGAAAGACCCCTCAAAAATATACACCAACCTTGGGTGATCCTAATCATTCAATGTTGGACACAAACTCTCTTTACACCCTCTCTCATTCGGGGCCCGAGTTTGCACGTGGGGCAAGAAAACCATAGACAAACATGCACACCTACAAATGCAAATGGGTAAGAGCTTGGCCCACTAATTACCCAAGCTAAGAAGAACAGATGCAAAAAGGGGAAGGGGATATGACATGATAGAAACACGTAGACACGTTATTTCTCAAAAGACGTAGAATGAGGACACGTTAGGGACACGATACAAATAGTTATGTTTTGTGTATCAACTGATATAAACTATCACTATATAGTATGATTATAGTATTTCACAACATAAACCAATTAGTACTTGTTTTCTCAAAAAACGTAGGATGCGGACACATTAGGGACACATTACAAATAGTTGTGTTTTATGTATCAATTGATATAAACTATCCCCATATAGTATGATTATAGTATTTTACAACATAAACCAATTAGTACTTTATGATAAGAAATCTAATGCCTAGTCCTTTGATGTGAAATTTCAAACTAATGGATCATATTAGTATACAATCATCTACTTGTTAATAGACAAAGTATAGCAAACATGCAAAATTACAATGATAGCTCTCATCTCTCCAAGTCCTCTTATTTAGTTAAATTTTTATGTATCTTATGTTTTTATTAGTTAAGTTTGACTAAATTTCTAACTTAATTAGTCCTAACAATTAGTCTTTCACAGGATATAAGGTAGCAATTAGGAAATTTTCAAGATTTTTTAATTTTATGCCAACACGGCCTTAGAGGTGACGAAACAATGCACCAAAGAAGAGTCCAACACGTGTAAAAAATTAACTTTTAATTATGGACACGGCTATAAAAGTAAGACGTGTCTGAGAGTGTCCTAGAAATGTTGGTGTCTGACACGTGTTCGAGAGTGCTAGAGAAGTGTAATTGACACCAAAGAAATAAGGACACAGGACACAAATACATCATGACATGGATACGACATGTTTCAAAAAAGTAGAACACGGACATATTAGGAACAATCTATAGACAATTGTGTTTTCTATATAAAAGTATATAAATTATTACAAATATAGTGATAATGATAAATTCTTCATAAAAAACTTAGTATTTTATGATAGGTAAATGCTATGTCCGTTATGTAATGTGAATTTTTGGACCAAAGCATCATATAGTCAATAATCGTCAATTTTGTTTGTGGACGTGTACCCAACATATACAATATAAATCATTACTTTCATTTTCTCAATTGCCCCCTTTTAAAACTTATATGCATCATTTGCTTTTATTGTTATATTTTAAGTATAGCCTCAACGTATCTAACCTTCGTACTTATATGTTTTATCATGGTATAAAATACTTATTAGTCAAATTTTTAAATTTTGTTAATCACATGTCAACACATATTTATTGTTTAAAAATAGATATGACCTAAAGAAGTATCAAACACATCATCAAAGAAATGTCAAACACGTGTCCAAAATTAAATTTTTATTATTTAAATAACAAACATGAGGAAAAGAATATCAGACAAACATCTAAGAGTGTTTGATGGACAAGTGTCCGACACGAATACATCTCCTTCTTGAGTGTGTCCTTACTTTATAGTTCGACAAGGATACCACCTTCTTGAGAGTGTCCGTACTTCTTAGCACTCAAGACCCAACTAAGATACTATGTTAAAGCATGCATCCAAACCAAAATCAATTGGCAATTGGCACGGAGGCCCCGCAAATGTATAAATCAACCTTCTAGTACATGTCACAAGAATACAACAGAAAAAAAGTCTATTCATCTATACATCCAATCCACCTGTTAGTTAACCGACAAGCTCCTACCACCTCACTAGAGATAGCCTCTAACTTAGTTTCTTGGAGCCCAATAATCTCCACCTCCTTATCCATAACAACCAAATGCAGCACAGCTGGTCAATTAGACCCCTCACAGCCCCACCTCCCAAATCCCATAAAAAATAAAAGAGAAAAAGCATTACAATGTCAGTTCCCACATCTGAAAACCTTAAGTTGAAGTAAAAGTAAGCAAAGCCCCACCCCATCCAGTACTTTTTAAGTGTTGGAAGCTTGGGGATTGAGGAGTCACCCTTACCGAACATTAACTTTCCTCTCCACTGCATTGCATGCATGAAGGAAGCAGGTTCACATCTGAAAAGCAGTTTCAGGTGCTTTGCTTAGATTGGAAGGAGATTCACCTTTCTAACAATAGCCCATGTAAGCTGCCACTGTTAGTTGGAATGGTTTGTTCACATTTTTGTCAAAGTTTATTTGCCTGCTACTTTGGGAAACTGTCAAATTTATCATTCCAATTTGGATCACGGGGAAGATTTCCACCTTAGAAGAAGATTTGAATCATCCCAAGTCTGAAGATGAGACTTTGTGAAATTAATGAACTCGGCAATTATTAGTTTCTCTATCATGGGGAAATTTTTATGGATGGAAAGGATGAGACTACCTTCAAAGTTAGACATCAACCTGTCAAACTTTCTGATCAAAGTTCAGAATATATCTGATGCAAAAGCATTTGTATCTGGGTTCTGGTCGTAGGACTGGCATGAACTTCACTATCTGAACAGAAAAATTTTCAATTTCATTATAATTGTTTGGCTTTCATTTGTTCTCTTTTTCACTTGGTCATTTACTTTGTGTTGTAAATATACCTTCAGCACTTCTTTTTCCTCAGTTTTATGATTGTATTTCCACTGAAATAGGTAAAAATGAAAAGGAGAGCAAGAAAGAACAGAAAAGCACCTTGGAAAAGAAGGGGTGGGGGGGGGGGGGGGGTGTTATGCAGATTAGGACACCCAAATTCTTATGCATGATCTATCGCATGAATCAAGAACATTATGCCACGTTGAATGACTGACTACCCAACAGTTGGGTTTAAAAATTGCCACAATTATATTATATTCATTAAGAAATTTGTTGACAGAAGCCTTGCTCGATAATAACAGAATAAAACAATGGAATCTGAAAATCAGTAAAACAGCTAGATCAACTTTCTTGCACGAGGAGGTGCACCAAGCAATAGAGCCCCAAAATACAGCTAATCAATCTGGGCAAGAAAGTACACTGAATAAAAGATAAGCACAATTATAATTGGATATTGAATTGCTTCGCCTACAAAAAAATAACAATTCTTACCATTTAAAAAGCGAAGGCGTATATCTTTCAAATTCATATGGTCTAAATTACCATCACTCTCGGATACAGCATGAGGGTGCACACATTCCCCTTCCACATCATTCAAGCTTGTAATATATCTTTTAACAGTAGGCCAATCAGCAGGTCCTAGTTCCTCGTCATCTCCAAGATCACCAAACGCCTCCAGGGCTTTGTTCAACATTTCGTATTTTGTATAAGCCAATATACGCCTCTGTAACAAATCAGAACAAAAGCAAAGACAAAACATTAATAAAAAAAACAACCCTACATACACAAATTGCTAACACAGAATATAAACAAAAACCAGAAAAAGGGCTCAGTTTGGAACTGCCAAAGGAAGAACAGAGGAATATACTTTTGAGAGAATAAATTCCATACTCTGGCATAAAATCAGAAGCTATAAACTTCTATGCATAAAAGTGACATGGGGAAGTTGAAACTGAAACGAATTAACAAAACTTGACTGCCTGAAAGTTTTCAATGTAATCATTTCTTTAAGGATTTATACACAAAAAGGAGATCAGTCCCTGAGGAATGTACAGTCGAAATATTATCGTCACAATTTTAGGGTTTGTGAAAGAGAAGAAGAGATACTAAAAAGAGAGGAAAAATTATTTGTTCATTCCTATCCTCCTCTCTCTATATATAGTGCTAGGGATATCAGGAAAATTACAAGAATACCCATCATTCTAATTTAAAGACATACTAACACTCCCCCTCAAGTTGGTGTATATATATTATAAATGTCCATCTTGCCTAACATGTTATGAAACGCCTTACTAGACACCCCTTTAGTCAAGACATCAGCTAGTTATTTCCCAGTCTTCACAACATATGTGCAAATAAGACCTGAGCTTAACTTTTCTTTAATGAAATGTCTGTCAACGTTAATATGTTTGGTTTGATCATGCTAAACTAGGTCATGGGCAATATTTATGGAAGCTTTATTGTCACAATAAAGTCTCATTGTGCACATGAATAAACCCCAAGCTCCATCAAAATAATTTGCATCCACAAAAGCTCACACACGTGCCATAACTCCAAACTCGGCCTCATTACTAGATCTCGCAACAACTGACCGTTTCTTATTGTGCCAAGTCACTAGGTTTCCTCCAACAAAAGTACAGTATCCAAAAATTGAGCACCTATGAGTGATTGATCAAGCCCAAGCTGCATTGTATATGCTTCCAACCGCAAATATGTCTACAAAAAGTAGATCTCTAACAAGTGCTGACTTGAGATACCATAAAATCTAAAGACTACTTCTAAACGGAATGATCGTGGAGAATGCATAAAGTTACTCATCACACTTACAACGTAGGTAGGTTGGGCATGCGAAAGGTGGATAAACTTGCCCATCAATCTTTGGTACCTACCTATATCAACCTTTTTGTCATCATTATTCTCTCCTAGCCTATGATTTGCCTCAATCACAGGATTACAAGGCTTGCAACCAACCTGTCTCCTTCTGCAAGTCTAGAACATAGAAATGAAGATTCACTTAGCTGATTTTGCAACATCTATGCCACGTAAATATTTTAGGTCAACCAGGTCCTTTATCTCAAATTCCTAAGCCAAAGATAATTTCAAAGCTTCTTCGGTACCAGTTATCACAATATTGTCCTATACTGATAATTTCAAAGCTTCTTCAGTACCAGTTATCACAATATTGTCCTATATAAACTATAAGCATGGTAACCTTCCCTTGTCTATGTCTGATGAACTGAGTGTTATTAGTGTGACTTTGCTTACCCATACTTTTGCATAGCTCTATTAAAACTCTCAAACCAAGCTCTAGGAAATTGTTTGAAGTTATAAAGAGACATCTTCAACTTACAAACTCTTCAAGAGATGGAAAAACCAGAAGAAGTATCCATATACACTTCTTCTAAGTCACCATGAAAGAAGACATTTTTCACATCTAGCTACTACTCGAGAGACCATCCCAACTTTGTTGTCAAGGAGAGCAACCCTCTATGGAATTCATCTTAGCCAGTAGTGCAAAGGTTTCCTGATAATCAATATCATATGTCTGGGTGAAACCCTTGGCCACCAATCTAACTTTCTACCTCTCTATTGATCCATCTATCATATATTTCACTTTAAATACCAATTTACACCCAACTGTTCTTTTGCCTTGGGAAGAGCTACCAGGTTCCATGTATTATTTTTCTTAAGAGCTCTCATCTCTTCTACAATAGTTGTCTTTCATGCAAAGATCAAAATATCGTTTCGAAACGTTCGAAACATTCTAAATGTTTCTGTTTCTAAAGAGACCGAAAAGAATCAGTAATGAAATCGAAATTCTAATATTTCGAGGTGTGTCATAATGTTTCAAAATATTTTGTTATATATCAATGCATTTGCATAATTATTTCGGAATGTTTCAAGGCATTTCAAGATATTTTTGTATATTTAGACCAATGTTTTGAAAAAATAATTCTTAAATTTTTATTGTTTTTCACTCTACTTTCGAAATGGGTCAAAACAATTTCGAAACATGTCGAAATGTTTCTGTTTTTTAGGTGACCGAAACAATGCACCGAAATGAAATTTGGATCCTTGTTTCCATGTCTGTCTAATCCTATAGAACAGATATAGAAGACAAGGATAAAAGCATGATAGGAAGGTGAGCGTGACTAATAGGACACAAAGTTTGAAATAGGATGTTGAGAGCAAGACTCCCTTACGAATTGCAATGGGAAGGTCAATGTCATCAAAAAAGGAAGAAATAAAATGAGCTAGAGAAAGATGGGAAGCATTACATGAATCTAAAGAGTAGAACTAACAATTAGCATGAGAGGGATCATAAGTGTGATCATCTGTTTTATCATTTAACTCTGTAACCGTTGCACCTTGTTTCTCCTTGTCCAACTGTCAGATTGGGGACTCACAAACTACACTCTCAAAGTGTGGTAGAGGTTAAGGAATCAAGGAAGCAATAGGAGACTAAAAAAATCACTCTTTACCAATAGGCCTCTCATGAAGAGTAGTCTTTGAACCCAAAAAATAGGTTGCGAACTCAATAAAGATAACATTCATAATAACAAAACATCAACAAGTAGGAGGATGATAACAACGATACCCTTTTTGAGTTGCAAAATAACCCACAAAAATACATTTTAGGGTCCTAGGGTCAAGTTTACCCTAAGATTGGCCATCAACATGAACAAAGCACACACAACCATTACACTAGGGGAAAAATGGAACATAGAAGATGAAAAATTGAGAGCCTTAAGAGGATTGAAAGATAACATGTGAGAGGGCATTCGATTAATGAGGTAGACTGCCACAAGAAGAGCATTTCCCCAAAAAGTTTTAGAACCATGCAAGGTGAACAGAAGAGCACCAGCACCTTCTAACAAATGACAATTCTTACACTTAGCTACTCCATTTTATTGTGGAGTTCTAACACTTAGCAGTTTCATGAATAATGTCATTAAAATCCGATCTAAATGTGTTAAATTCACCATAATTACATAAAAATTTAAATTTTTCATCAAATAGAATAGAAATCATAGAATGGAAGTTCTTAAAACCGGTGAAAACTTTACTTTTTTCCGGAAGCAAATACACTCATGTAACATGAGAACAATCAACAATAAAAGTAACAAACCAGCGACAACCCAACGAAGTAGGAATACGTGAGGGACTCATATCCAGGTTCAAGGTTGCAGTATCAGCCATCAACTCGAAGAACTCTAATATACATCGGTCGCGGCGTCGTGGCGCAATATTGGGCGATACGACCTAAAAGAAAATATTGAACATGACGAGAAATTCAGGTCATATCGTGGCATCATAGAACCGTATCGGCCAATTCCCTGACGATATATTAGCGACTCGAAATTTATTCGAATATGTGAGATCTGAGAATCAGCTTGCAAATATGTTTACCAAAATATTGAGTCGTACACGTCTGACAACCATTTGTTCTAAACTTGGATTATATGATATATATAGTCCAACTTGAGTGGGAGTGTTTAGAGTGTTAGGGTATTTTGTAAATATTAGTTAGTTATAATAAGTATACCACTAGAGGGTATACACGTCTTTTGTATGGTTACAAGTTTATATATAAATATAAGTGGTTTGTGAGAGGTAGGTTAAGTTTTTGTTCACTCTCCGTCTTTTTCTAATATCGTGTTAACTCCCTAAACTTAACAATAAGAAATAACTAAATCAAACAAGAGAAATCACCAATAAATATCACAAAATACTAAAATCTTTTGACTCTTACAGGACCTCAAATGTCTGTATAAACAATATAAAGCGGATTGGACTGACAACTTTAAGAACTAGGAGAAAAAGAACTACAATGATGCTTGCTAATTGACAAACCTCACATTCTAACACACAAGAAAAACTCAAACTAAGAATAACTTACCAAAACTTTTGTAATAAATGATGACCTAGTCGAGAGTGCCACTGAAGAGGAGACATGGTACCACTCAAAGCGGGAATAGAACCATCAAGATCTAAGTAATAAAGGTCATTTTTCTCATGCCCCAAACATATGACCTCCTTTTTAATAAGATCCTAAAAAATACAAGAGGATGGAGAAAAAGTTACAGAACACTAAAATAACTTAGTCAGCTAACTTACAAACAAAGAACAAAATGTCGTGTCGAAACGTCCGAAACAGCTCGGAATTTCAATACACCGACACGAAACAGGGGATGAATACTAAAATTTTAATGTTTCGTTTGAAACGGCACTGTGTCGGACCGTTTTGGTCAAAACAGTACAAATTCGATACAGTTCACTCCAGGTCAAAAGAAAAAAACAGAGATGCTAGAAAGCAGATTCCTTTCACAAGTTGGTCAGAATTCACAGAGAAAAAAGTACAGAAATCACATGAGGCACAGAAAGCAGATTCCTTCCACAAGTCAGTCAAATTTCACAGAGAAAAAATCGGGAATAAAACACAAAAATCACATAGTCCAGGTCTTCCAAGCAAAAAAAAAATAGACAGAAGAGAGACAAGAAAGACTATCCAGGTTCAGGCAAAAAAAAAAAAATAGACAAAAGAGAGGGAAAGGCACCACAGGAACTCGAAGAGACAGAGAAATTGAAGGAGAAGACTAGAGGAACTTACCTTGAGTCCAGATTTGAGCAGATCCAGCCATTTTCGGGTTTTTCACGCAGATCTAAGGCTCGAATTTTCCATGCAGAGCCTTC